TTCATCTTAGGTAAGTGTATTGCAAAGGACATTTGTGCTTTCACCCAGCAAAGGGGTCAGGTAGAGATGCAGTATGGTGCTCACATAAATGCAGTTACCCTGCTCTGCCAGCGCTCTGCGGCATGCACCACATGCCAAAGGGGAGGATGAGAAGAGACTTCTTTTCTTCTCCAGGCCTTTACCTCCCTGTGATGCACGCACACGCAGGTGCCACAGGCTTGTGGCAGTGCCCAGCTGCCCTGGTTAGGCCGGTATCCTGACAGGTCTCACATCACTCTTCTTATTGCTTATATAGAAATGTATAAAACTAGATCAAAACATTAACTAAAAAGCGAGTGAAGTGCACTAGAAACTGAAAAACTGCTTTTGTCATAAAGGCCGAGGCTAAATTGCTGGCATCACTCTAAAGAGCTTAGCTTTAATCTCCACCGCCATCAGCAATACAGCTCACTAGAGTCAAAGAGAATTACTAAAACGGATCACTGAGGGTAGTCAAGGGAATAGAGTGCACTGGGTATATATATTACCCTTCTCCTGTTTCTTGGCTTAGCCTTTGTTAGAATAGCTGATGGCTGGTTTGGAGAGGTTTGATTAAGTATGATGAAGAATGAAAGATCAATATTAGAATAGCAGATATTATTTGTTTCCTGGGTAGGAGAGAACATAAGGCTTTCAGGGAACATTGCCATTAGGCTGCAGACTGCTCAGGCATACTTTTTATTTTGTAATTTTTGCAAGCTTACATAGCTGTTTGATAACTTTGTCTCCTGGCATACATATGAAAAACAGAGCAAATACCTGAATTAGGTCAGTCCATTCTGCCACCCAAATATGTAAAATGTAGAAGAATTACAAATGTGGCCCAGACTCTGAACGGCCATAAATCAGTGTGATCTCACTAACATGAAGACCACTGCCATCACATCAGCTGCTATAAATTACCTTAACTCAGCAGACATCAGTCTTCAGCCCCATTTCATATCTGCCCAGCCTATCGACACATCAGTCTCTTTGCTGTTCGTTCTGGGCTAATGAATATAGCACTACAGCAGGGCAAGCAGCACCATATGTCTTACCACATATGTTTGCTAGATTAAATGGATGAAATCACTGGCTACAATCACAAACTGTGCGCACTTGTTTAGAATGAGCAGGTCTCATATGCCTTTGTGTAGAGGAGGCCCACCAGAGTGCTGTGTGCTCGGACAGAGGGACCAGATTCAAGTGTAGCTCAGCTAGGCTGGAGGCCTCCCTGGGGCATTGATCAATGTGTGTTGCTCCCACTAAGGCTTGCCAAGGCATTGACCCAACAGTGTGGTCTTGTCAGGGTGGGAAGCGGGAAACACTGGACCAGGCACAATTTGATCCAGATAAGGCTGGAATAAGCAGCTGTGGTGGCATCTCTGGTAAACAAGGATTCCGATGGAATGCAATATACTGTGTTGTCTGATCCTGGTATAAAAAAAGTCAAGACATGGCGATGACTGCAGTAGGTTAAGGGAACACCATTTAGTGTTATATCAACGATATTGTCACAGGAACAGGCTTTAACTCCTGATCTGATAATTATTAGGCTAAATATTGTGGCTCTGGCTTGTATGCAATAATCCTGGCTAAAATGTTGGCACCAAACCAAGCCTATGGCCATTAATTGAGAACAGTCTAAATGATGAGATCTCTTGAGTGCAAATTATCTCGCATTGCAGTTCTTGAAATGTCCCATGCCTCAGCAGCACCTTACAAGGACAGCATCAGAAATGATGAGGACTACGGTGATTACTGGCTTGGTGACCATTAACAGCATGGATGATATAGGTGAATGTTCTCCGGTATGTAATGTTGCATAGCAACATACATGGATATAGCTGTGGATATATTTAAAGAAAATCATGATCTTGTCACTGATATTTCAGGACCAGATACGGAGACTAAATGTTGCAAATTATTTATCCAGCTCTATTGCACAGCCGTGAAAACAGCAATGAAATATTTGCTGAGTTAAAACTCTTGTACAATGCATCAGCAATTCTTACAGTACAACTAAAGACAAGAAGACATTTCCTTTAAATCAGCCATATTACGTGGGATTTTTTTTTTTTAAGTACCTCCTGAGATAAACGTTTCCTTATGTTATCCCCTAGGAAAATTTCTTGACTAGATGGACCATCAGCCTCACTTAGTCTACCACTGTTCACAGTGTTTCGCTGTGCATCTTTCCCTCTGGGCCGACTGCATGTGCTGTGACCTGAACTGAAAGCCATGGCAACATGCTCACTTAAGTCACAAAGGCCATTGCAATACATAAAAAATACACGCAACTCAAAAAATCCCCAAAGGGTATATGAGGAGATCCCTTCTAAAACATTTTTAGGTATGTGTATGTTCACAGTCAATGAGATGTTAATAACAAAACTCAGTGCTATAAAAGAAACATACACACTAAGTGCTACCATTTTGATATAGCTTACAGTGCAGATCAAAATAACTTTTCATAGGTATGCTCATTTCTTGGCCTATTAGATTGTCTGCCTTACTCAGATTTGTTTCAATAACTATGCTTTATTTTGACATTTTTAAAGATTTTTATGACATTTAGCATATTATTTGATCTTCTGCATTACAAGCTGTCACTGAAGATGTGCTGTGCAATAAAGTTACATCTAAGGCGACAGACAGGAGGATTTCTTTTTTTTTTTTTTTAACCTGTAAACTTCAGTTTTATGTAAATCCTGTTTCTCAGTGCCTAAAAGTCATGTCGACAGATAGCTGCTGTAAATGTATGGCAATTTTTTTAGATTTTTCCTTGGCCTATAATGGCTACTCATACAAAAAGTGTTAGCTGGAGGCAGCTTTTACTTTCCACTAAATATCCAAGATCACTGTTGGGTTTTCCTGACAGTTTTCAATTTGGAAATGTAAAGTGCAAAAGTGTTTGCCCATCTTTCTGGTATGTAATGAACACCTAAATGCCTTCCTTGTTTTTTAACCTTAATAGTGTATAAGCTTTTCTTCTTGAGACAGAAGGTTAAAGGCTTGATCCAAGGTCTGTTCAAATGGATGAAGAGGCTCATTACTTTCATCGGGCTTTGGATCAGACTGTAGAATAGCATTTGGCCTGCTACGAAGCAGCTATCAATGTCTGACCATCAATCTGGCAAGCCATGTTTTTCTTTCATAACTGGCCATAAGGTGCCTTCCCTCTAAATAACATATGTAATTTTCAGAAGGCAGTGTATCCACTTATTCTGGCCACTCTGGGTTCTCAGATGGACCTACTGGCCATGTCTCTGCATTGTATGGACATTGTACATAACAATTGTAAACAACTGGCACATGGGTTTTGTTCCATGCTGCTGCTGATTCTTAGCGCAGATATCGTCTTGAAAGATAAGTTTAAATTTGCAGTAATGAGGCTTCATAAAATAAGAATTTGGATGTATAGCAACTGTAAATTTTCCTTTTGCAGTTTGTCAGTTTCATTGTTCCTATCTCATTTTTATAATTCTCACTCCTTCTGTTAACAACATGCCTGTACCTCTCTTAGCAAGCTTTGTATCTTGCTTAAAATACCCTTTTCACCTGAAAAATTTAACCTAAGCTTTTCTTGAACCAGTTGACGGTTATTAATAAAACTTTATTGGATAGCAAACAGATTGGCCTCCATTTTCCATATAACCACTTTCTATGTAAGAAAGCTATTCCCTCTCTATTTTCCTCTCTCCATTCTAAGGTGAGCCTTTCTCAGTACAGCTGTCTGTCCCTCAAACTAATGCATCTGATTATCCAAATCTTTTATCACAGTTGTCATTCTCCTATCAAGTCTCTCCAACCTAGCTGTCATTTAAGAAAAAAGGACACTCAGTTTTGGGCAACTCATAATGAAAGAACTGATTAGAGAATAAAACCAGATCAGACAGGAAACTCTTTTCCAAAAGTTTCCAAGCTTGAAGGAGAAGAATATCCTGTTGTGAATCCCAATGAAACCAAGAATGATGAAAATACCAGAAATAAGAGGCTGCTTGATGTTCAAAGCAGTATGGGACATGTGAAAGACCCATGTTGCAGACTAAATCCTGACTATTTTAGATGAGGACTTTCCAAGGTACTTACCTGAAACCTAGATCACCAGGCTTTTGTCAGTTTTAGAGTCTGGTCTCTCACCAAGACCTAGATCTTACTAATTTTCCAAATAAATCCATGAGATACATTTTCACAAAACAGCTTGATACTGTAGTATTAACATAAGAACAACAACAGCAGCAATAATACCAATTCTCAGGGTGTCTCTCTGAAATATCTACAGCTCTCATTAAAATAGACTATTAGAAGACAAAAATCCAACACTTTGCAATGAAATTCTCTTTCACACAGATGACTCCCAAAACACAATCTTATGCCCTCATTTCAGGACTTAAAAGGGATTTAATATACTAGAAAAAGAGCCGTAGACAAGATGAAATACAGCTGCTCAAGAAGCAGACTTCCCTAAACAACTCAACGTACCTTATTTAGGCAGCTACAGCTCAACAGCTGGCTGCAGCTTGCATGAGGGAGTTGGAGGGTTGCGGAGGGATGAGTCCTCCCTCTTTCTTTCCCCTGTCTGTGGCGGAGGGGTATATGCAGAGGCTGTTCTTAGTGAAGTTTCAGCTGTTTGCAGGGACGGTGATATATCCCCAGATCTGGCTACTCCAGCTGCTGAGGCTGGACCTTAGGATAATATATATAAGTCCCTGAAATGGGGTGAATGTCACCATTTATAGGCCCTGCTGAGAGTTTTCAGGGTCGCCATGTCTGCATCAGCTTGTTTTTATTAGTTCTTCATAGGATTTGATGACTACTTTAGCTGAGGTATCTGAGGTCCAAGTTGCTCTCCTACTGGAGATATAAAATTTCACGCCGATTTGATGAAAAAACTTAAGAACCTGCATTATAAAAGAACGTTGCTGAATCTTTAATTCCATGACAATACAAATTCAAAGCATCCAAGGTGGGGTAGGGAGAAAGACAGGGAGAAAATATGAAAGATATCTACGAAGACTATAGCACTGCACTGCAGAGCTATCAGAAATTGACAAAGTATGTGTCATATTTATTCAAGCACTCCTATGTTTTTGGTCTTTTTTGGAAGGTGAAAAAAAGTTTGCCCTTTGTTCATCAGGCAATCCTCCAGAAAGAAATGCAGGCAGGTTGAAAGGCAGCTGGCAGTAAAGGAGGTCATTACCATCACCTCCAGAAAAGCTGGAAGTGGGTGTACCTCCCATGCTGATTCAAAGCCAGATTGCTCTCAGCTCCCCCTCCTCCATGACTGTTGCTGGGACTCAGGGCCTTTAACTCCAAATAGGTGCAAGTATAATGTGAAGCATCTTACAACAGAAATCCTTTTTGAAAAACAGCAAAGATAGTTTGGCCTGATATTTGGATAAATGTGGTAGATGAATGCCACCATTGTGAAATTAAACAACATAAAAAAGGAAAAGAAAATGCGTAATTATGCACAAAAGATATACCCAAAAGATTATCATGGAAGCCAAGGTTATTTTAAGAACAGAACTTCCTTGTGATCTTCTTGAGTTATTATTAGGTCTAACCACAGAAAGAAAAGGCAGGTCAGAAGTAGTGTAATTGGGTACATATGAGTAGCTGCACGTTCAATAGCTGTGAACTTAAATCAGTTCTCTTAGTAACCTAGAGTAATTAGGGTAATTGAATATGCAGTTTATTTATGAAAACAGGATCCAAAATGGCTGTTCCTCGTGGATTTTGAAGGAGATACTGTACATGGGAAGGAAGCATTCCAGGTTAGACTCATATCTAACTGCACTGGGCTGTATTAATTTTTGTTTTGATTTTAATTACTTTTATCTGAGAAAGAATACTCTTGGGATGACTGAAGGAGCTAAAGTGTTTCTGTAAGCAAGAGAAGGGTGAACATTTATATTAGGGTATCAATCTTTGAGAAGGAATCACAAAATCTAGACCCACTCTTTCACCCTTATCTCCCCAAGATTATGTCAAGACTGGACAAAAGTTGTGCACTTATATATATTTTCCAAAAGACATCATATATTGGTATTGAATCAGTACAACATATTACATAGCTCCTTCTGGTGCAGAGTACTGGCTTGTCACATCAGGCTATCTTTTCTTCTTTTTTCCAGTTGCCAAAGAACTTTACTTTCGGTTCAAAGAACACTTTCCTAAATTGGTAACATCAGTGATTTCCACAGATTTTTCCCTCAGTATGTTCAGTTGCCGGAGACAAAAGGATCAAACACAGTTATGACTAAGAGAAGGTTTCCAGGAAGCAATTTTCTCTGAGCACTGGGGGCCAGACTAGAAATAAGTTAAGCATCCCTGTTGTAACACATTAAAAGGATAAGATTACATTGATTTTCAGAAGGCCATCTATACGGCAGACAAAACAGTCCCTGGGGTCCCTGCTTTAGAAAGCAAAATTAATTAAATAATTAAAAGAAGCCTCAGTTTGTGTTTGATTGTCTTTAGCAACATCCTGTGTAAATAATTCACATCTGGCTGGTGGAGAAGTATAGGTCACAAGGGATAGTTTTTACTCATAGTGAAACATCCCCTAATCAATCATCCTTCAGCTTCTGCTTTTTTTCAGACCAGGGTTTTCCTGAGCCTGTTGTGGTTTGTCTATTTAGTCACCTGCAATGGATTTCTTCCAATTGTCTGTCCAGTCTCCCCCAGAAGCCCTGTAAACTTCTTGCACCCATACCTCACTTGGCAGGGACTCCTTCAGGGCTGCTACGTGTTGCATGAAGAACAGTCTTATTTTTTGGTTTTGAATCTCCTTCCTGTTGGATTCATTTGATGGCCTCCAGTTCTCGGACACAAAAGACAGCAAACAATTGACCTCTATCTTTATTCTCCATGGCATTCATAATTTTGCAGACCTCTCTCATGTCCTCCTCAAGTTTATCCTCCTTTTCATCCCAGATGACTCAATCATTTCTCATATGGAAACTGTTTAATTCTTCTGATCATCCTTTCTGCCTTTCGCTGAACCTTTTCGAGTTCTTCTGTATCATGAGATGAGGGGACCAAAGCTGCCTACCTTATTCATCATGTGAGAGAAGCTTGAATTTATGCAACGGCAGAACGATGTTTTCCTCTTTGTTCACTATTTCTTTCCTAATAATTCCTAATACTTGATTAGCTTTCCAGACGACTATTGAGCACCGAACTGATGTTTTCATGGAGCAATTCATCATAATGAGTACATTTTTTATCTCAGAGTCCCCATGAATCTATTCCCAAGGGCTGCAAGACTACTGTACTGTTTCTGGGCAACTGCTAACCCTTTCCCTTCTGGCATATATTTTATGAGGTCTCTTGCATTGGAGCGAGAGAGATGGAGATTTTGCATTCGTGTGAATATGAGCGAAAAGTTTTTGCATGGAAAGGACTGTTCTGCTAGAAACTTCATTCTCATTCTAATACTGAGGACTGAATTCCATATTTTTCATATATTTCTATTTTTTCATACTGTTCCTTATAAGCTGTTTCTTTTTTCATCAGCTATTCTACAGACTAAAGTTATGTCATCTCTTTTCTTGTTCTGCTTTTACCTGCAATTTAAGGAAATACTGCTGGAGCTAAGTAAATATCTTATCATTTGTTCTGCATTACTCAGCCATTAGGTCATGAAGAATTAAATTCCTTACAAAACGCCAATATTCCTTCTAAGATACACAATTTAAATCCTCATGAATATATCCTAGAGCAGAGTCAGCTGAAAGTATCTATGCTGCCAAGAGTAGAATGGGAAGATACTGATGTATTTGGCAGTCAGTCTTTATTTCATCCTCTAAGCTTCTTAAGGTATCCCTGTTTCTTCTCTCTGAAGAAATTTCAGAGAGATTAATGCAGGTAAAAACACTATCTCTCATTTGCAATTTTTAAAAAATATATTGAAATTGGTTCAGTGATGTCATTTCTAGTGCAAAATTTCTACAAATTTCCCTTGTAGCACATCTTGCAAATGCTTCCCTTTCTAAAAGATACAATCATCCTTTTTAGTCCTTAAAGAATTAAGGTAACTTTTTAGATAAAAAATGTTCAACTTCCCTGCCTGTATGAAGCCATGCGGAGAACAGATAAACTGCCAAAGTACATCAGTCCTACAACTCCGTTATACCAAAAATAAATAGCACCATCTTTCAGATTTCTCAAAACTTAGCAAAGATCCATACTTGGATGAAGCCTGAAAACAGGTAAAATAGGGGAAATTCTAATAGGAAGGGAAACCTGTGGAACAGTTTGTCTCTTCTATGATATCCCTTGTTATCAAAGGTGCCTGTATGTAGGCATATAGAAGTTTCAAAACTGATCAAAACTGGTAGCTTTCACCAGTTCCTAAGAGTTATGTAATCGATACTAAAAGAGCATTTAAATCTAAGTCTTCCTGACTTCCCCGGAATTTGTGCATAGGCTTCTCAGAAACTAAGGACTATTTCAGTTGTCTAATTGTCTGCATTGCAAAGTAATAGAAACAAAACATTTTTCTCAACAACGCATACAAATTTTTGGCAGTCAAGTGCACTGTGCTGCTACAATGCACCAAAGCAAAAGTCTGTACATTTTCACAGAGATCAGAAGAAATCATTGTGTCACCGACTCTGACCACCTCTGCAGCAAATCTTAGCCAGTCATCATTTCACTCGGTCATCATTTTCCCAAATCTCTTAATTAGTGTTTGTCCAGCCTGTCTACCTGAGAGGCACTGAAACTCCAATATAACTTCAGCTCCTGATAAAGTGGTTCTTATTCAGCTTTTCTTCATTACATAATATAAACCTCTGGCACTCACAATTTTCTTGTGAGAGTAAGCCTTCCACTATTATTTAGTTACCAATAACTCTTATTGAAAAACCAACAAACAAACAAACTACATAGGTTGAGGCCTGAGATCCTGCTAAGGAATTTCTTTGGCTTTTAGTTAACTTTTGTAGCTCCTCTATGCATCCTCTCCGATTTGCAAGATCACCTTCTAGAATATGTACAGCGGAAGTGAGCACAGTACCTCAGCATCAGTCTTACCAGTGCTGTATGTGGAGGTATAATAACTTTCCTACCCCTGTTTACAGATCCAAGGATCACAGTCAGACTGAATCCAGTATGAATTTGCATGATGATTTACTTATATTCACAGTAATGAATAACTTCAGAGAAGACAAGGATAAAATCAAAGTGCATTCCCATTCCCAGTCATCTGCAGCTTATAAACAAGTCCCGAGGATTTCACAAGGCCAAGTCTTCTTCTAATCAAGCATCAAAGATTATGAAAACAATCACTTTACTTAAATTAGGGGACAAGAAATTCTGTGTATTTTGTATTTCAGTTATCTTTCTGAAAGCAGCCTTGCTTTCCCCTACAGACTGTTGTGGCACATTTGCTGTTAACTGTGCAGCAGCAAGTTGCCTGTAAATTTCCTGCCCTAAAATTTAAACAAAGACAGGATCTGCAGTGAAGGATTAGTGTACCACTCACTGCTTGTCCTGGTTGTTTTCCCATACAATATAACTTCACCATATCAAGCAGTGGAGGAGTTTGAGGGACTGATTCACTAGGGTCCCCATCTTGCATCAGTAAAGTCAGCAGTGGAAGAAATCCCACAGCGTTAAATGCAGTTTGTAAAACGCATAAAGTCGTGTTTTCCCATTGAGGTTAAATCGCTATAAAACAGAATGGTAACTTTTCCTTGCAGTGAGGCTCGCTATCTGCCCGTGTCACAGACAATGTCACCTTCTAGCAAGATAACTGTCTCCCACAATAAGAGTCAGAAATACCCTAGCTTTCAAGCACGTTTTGGAATTAATGGGAGGTAAAAAATGTCTCCTTCCAAATAGGTTTTCAGATATGCTGATTAGCATGAGCATGATTTTCTTTTAAGTGAAAAGTCTGATGTTCCCCTCATTCATAGAATTTGCACTAGATAGATGTGCCCAACAGGAGACAGAAAGGGGGAAAAACAGTCAGCTGAAGACATTTGTGAACTGTGGAACAAATACTTGACAGATCCATTTAAAGGACAAGGAATGGAAAGGCTGCTTTGCAGATAAATTTCTTGATGAGTTTTTTTTTAATGGTTTGTAAGGAAATATGACTGTCTGTAATTTACAGCGTTTCATTATGAAATATTTCTGAGTATGTAATGAATATCTGCCATGCCTAAATATCCTCAGAGTGTCACTCCACAGTCCTCCCACGCACATCACTTCAGTTCAAGGCAATAGCGTGGCAAAATTTCCATCAGCTCCAGTAGGAAAGCAGCTCACAAAAGAACAGAGGATTTGACCTCAAGAGTGTAAGTGTTGTGGGAAATCCAAATGATTTCTCCCATATTCCTGTACACTGCAAGTAGCCTGTAAGGACAAATGCCAGTTATTTGCATCAAGTTTATTACAAAAGAGAGCCAAGTAAATGCTAAAGCATATTTTACACCCTGTTTATCCTCTTTTCTTTAGATAAACCAAAATAAATTTTGTTATGGGACACCGGTTTTGAACTCTTTTCTTCAGTTCACAAAAGGGCTTCATATTTTGATAGAATTCAGGATTTTTCTTCTCATTCTATCAACACACACTGTAGGCTTGCACCCATATGCAAGAGTTTGTGGTGCAAATGCACTCTTTGGACTCCACTGGAGCTGATAAGGGGTAAAAGGAACAAAGATGAGGAAAATTGAGATGGGGACACAGCAGTAAAAATGTGGCTTTTTTTTTTTTTTTAAGTGGAGCTGAGAAAGACAGTCTTGTGACTCTGGCAGACTTGTTATTGTCTCTTTGTCTACAAAGATTGATTACATTTGCCGTGTGTCCCAAAGCAAAAATATACCATGAATTATGGTGGGGAAAAGTAGAACATTCAGACAAGAGAAGATACGGGTGAACTCAGGTTTCAAACCCCTCTGCCTACTTCTGCATAGTTTCAGATTATTTGGATTCAGGAATCATCTGTTTCTCCATAAGACAGGACGAAAGTTTGGGACTTCTTGCACCTGCTGGTTTGGGTCTTGTCCACTTCCAACCTAGACGGATTGAAGAGCAAAAAGCAAAGAATTTAAACATTGGTTTCAGCAATGCCCAGAGATAAAGGTTCACATTTCAGCTGTAACAATCCATCACCATCTCACACACACACACACACACACACACACACACACACACACACACACACAAAAAGGACTGTAAGTACAACTCATGCTAATATAATGATTGCATTCTAAGAAGGGCTTTAGTGTAATGCAAGGCACAAATAAAAAGACTTTGATCTGAACAGTCTGGACTATAATATATAAACTGTGGGATATAAATCCCATCCCCAGTTAGAGAGAAAACCCTTCCATAAATGGAGGGGAGGCAAATATGAAGCTTTCCAGTTGTCCAGTGTGTGGGTTTCTCAAAGCACTACAAACTCAAAGCTGAAATCTACAGTGCTCTGTATCTTCGATAATAGCTCTGCTAGTAACATTGTGATCTAGAAAAAATGACAAGGAATAAAAATTACATTGAGTTCAGCCCAGCCCTAAAGCAAGAGAAAACTTGTCTTGGACACTATAAATGAGATATATACCTATCTACTGGAACTTTAATGTTTTTACAGCAAAAACCACAGTGCTGGAAACAACAGATACCTGAGGAGTAAGGCAATAATTACAAAATAGTATAATTCCCGTTTCTGAAAATCCCTGGAGCACAGTGTCCCATTAACGCAGCCTGAAATTACAAGATATGAAAACAGTTTTCATTTCTCTCCAGAAGGTTTATTTCTCTTACCACCCAGACGTATAACATTACTTAAAAAAAGAAAAAAACCCAAACCAAAAAATACCAACACAAAGTTTGCCACCACCTACTCACCCTGACATAAAATAACAAGAAAGGAGCTTTGTGTATGACTTAACATGGAAATAACCATAGAGCAAACGCAATATGGGAAAACAAGATTTCCAAGACAAATAAATAGAAGTCAAGATTCTTGGCTACTGTCAGTTCTGCAGTAACTTTGCATGTTCTTGGCTAAAATACAGACTCAGGACCACTCAGGAGTCCATAGTGTTTCAGTCAAAGGTCTTCCTACAGCCTATTATCAGAGGAAGATATTAAGGAAAGTAGCATATCTTAGAGAAGTAGGATGTTTACAGAGTAACACAGCCACCACCCAGCCTCTAGCTAGCCCTTTTTTGGGGACTTCCTGAAATGGAGATTGTATCAAGGTTATTGCATTTAACAGCCTCTGAGAAACCCTCTTCCATCAGTTTCACTAATCTTTTCTTATGAGCCCATTTAATCTCTTGGCCTCCAAAACCTCCTGCGGCAAGGAGCTGGCAATTTAGCAATACTGTATGGAAAATGTTTCCTTCTCTTTCTTTTAAATTTGCTTCCACACTCTTTAATTTGATGCTTCCTTAACTTTGCACTGTGACAAACAGTGCATGGTTGTTTCCTGTTGACATTCTTCATACCAGTCCTGCCTTTACAAACATCTGACAGATACCCTCTTTGTCATCTCTTCTAAGATGAAAAGATCAAATCTCTCCAACACAGAAGACATGCCCTACCTCCGATCACTATTATCATCCTCTCTATACTTTTCCTCTGTCTTCTCAGAAATGGAAGTGACTAGAATTGCACACAACACTCAAAGAGTGGGAAATACAAGAGATTTCTACACCGGCATAGAGCTGGCTCTCCATTTCTGCCTCTTTTCTTTTCCTAATGATTAAAAGGATTGTGGTTACCATTTTGGCTACTGCTGAGTAATGAGCTGATGCTTTCAGAAGCTTCCACAAGAACTACGATCCCTTTTCTGCCTGGTAATAACCGACAAGTTCTGTCATCACAAACACATCAATTCCCCCTCCACCTACATCACTTTATATTTGATCTGGCATTTTTTTATCCAGTCATTCAGTATCATGTGATTTTTCTTAGGCAGTTTACAATCAGTTTCAATTCTGATTACTTTGATTTTTCCATAGTCAGAAAATGTTATCATGTGTCTATTCATTCCCTCTTCAAGAGCACTTGCAAGTCACAAAAGTCTCTCTTAAAGTCATTATCTGACTCCTCTATGCCTCTACAAATATCTGGTTTTTATATTATTATGGTGTCACCTAGATTTGCTGGTATGGAATTCAGACTTAGTGATCTCTACTTTCTCAGATTAATGGCTGTTTTAAAATATTCACCTGTGTGCCACCTACCATTCCTTTCCGATTGGAACTCCTGATGCCTTTGGAATCAGTGACGTTTTGATACTGCTTTTGGTAGACGTGGGATTAAGAAATAAAGTTCTCCTTGCATCTTCATTTTTCATCTGTTAATTGGATGCTCTGTAGATAATAATGTGAGGTGTAATGAACGATTGTAAGTTCACAGCAATTACTTACAGCATTTGCTAAGCTCACACAGCTTCACACAGCTATCAATCGGCTGGAAAAAATGTATCCTATGTTAATGTGTTTTCTATAGTAATTCTGTCTAGAGACTGCTCCATCATTTCTGGCTGTAGTGTTAAAGAAGGGCTGCACCTGTTTCCACCTCTTGTTTGAATACACTGCAATGGAGCAAAGGTGACTAGTCTTAGTTTCTGAAGATGATACGCTGCTGCTGATACCTATTCAGGATAATGATGGATTTGGGCTACAGCAGAGTGGAGGCAATCTGGTCATTTTATTTTCTTGAAATTTTTAGGAGGCAGTTCAGCAAATTAGCACCATTAACAAAAAAGAGGAATGGAGTTCGCAAGCAAAAATCTTTTTTTGGTGGTCTACTGCCATTATCCTCTGATCATGCACTGGCTTGAACTCCTCCAGTATCCTAAACTGCTTATTTTGAAGTTCACACAAAGACAGTTCACATATTTGATTTCCCATGTAAATGAGACTTAAATCGATGTATACAAGAAGTAAGGCACCAGAGAAAGTCACAGCCCAAGTATGCAAGATGAAATTTCATGCTCAATGACCATCAAATGTTAGAAAGCTTTCAAACGAAATGTTTTTTTGCACGAAAGATATTGACAAACAATCATTCCTTTGAATAACAGTATGTTTTAAAGAGGAACGTGTAGTTTTAATGAGAGCACTCCTGCTGTTTCACTGCTTTTGACTATTAAAGACAGTTTGTGCTGCTAATGTGGTGCTTGAAAATGTGATTGCCTCAGCTTCAGTTTATGACCGTGTAAACTTGCTGCTTCGTGAGTACTCAGCTATTTTGCTTTTGCTGTGTGAAGAATTCTAATGGATATTTTTATTTGGATTTTATTTTTAAAGGGTCGTTTTTACAATAAGTTGGCTACTTTTCATAGTGTCAGCAGTACACATTAAACTTCACATTTAAAGGCTTTGTTTTGAAGGTCATTTTCTCTTAGCTGATGTTTGCTGCTGACAGTGATATAGCTTACTGCAGTAGAATTTGAAAAACTAATTTTGGGTAATATTTAAGATCCAGACACTGAGACACCAGAAATGTACCCAGGAGTCAGAAGTTCACTACTATATTTTAGTTATATGACTGTTTTTCTGACACTTAATTTGTTACCAGTGTTTTCAGTTACGGTTGACTGTGTAAAATCCACAAATTAACACCTTAATAGATGTTAACCACACTAAATCTCACAAAGACACAGCAGCTCTTGTGAGAACGCTTTTCACTTGACCATTACTTGTTAGAAGAATAACTGGGTTTGATTGTTTTTATTTAGCCTCAAACACCTATACTGTTGAAAAAATTATAAGCTGCCATAGGCTAACTTTCAGCTTTCCAGGTGCTGCACAAACCAGATGATAATGGCTGCTTCTGCGGAGGTCCCTTTGGGCCTGTACTCGGACAGATTATTTTCATTCCTTTCAGATCACTGCCATTTTGAACTTATGCAGTTCTTTCCACACATACCTTTTCCTGGCCATGCATTTCTCTATCAGGAGAGAGGTTCCCTCAACTTTCAAGCTCAGCAAGGCAAAAACTGATTTCTCTGTTTTACTTTCCCATCCATCTCCTTACTTTCCCTTAACTCTTTTCATGTAACACCATCCTCTTTTTCTTTTTATGCCGTCTGCATCTGCTGTGGAATAGAGCCTATTTTAAAAAATGTACCAACAACCCAACCCTTTCTACCTCTCCGTGTCCTCCTGTCTGCCAACCAGTCAATCCCATCTCTGGCTCCTCCAATTGCCACAGTATTCCAGGACATCAAAAATGTAAAAATCTGCTTCACTACCCTCCCTGCCTACACGGGAGTACCTTGATTTTCCCCATCCACTTCACACATCAGACTGCCTTACCTTCAATGCACTGCATAGGGTTTTACAAACCTCTCTTACTCTCTTCTTTACAATGTCAACCACATGAACCTGTCTTTCCGCTCTCATTCTTTCCTTCTCCTCTTCTTGCTTTCATTTGTACCTCTCCACATACTTGAAGTGGAGAGGTACAACTTGCCACACGTTCATGCATTTTATATTTTTCACAATCTCTTCAAACATGTTGCTACTAAAAAACATCTTACATGAATAAATTGCATTGCAACTTCATCCATTCATTCTTCCATTAGCTTTTTTTTGTCATTCACTATTCAAGGGATGCAGGATTTTATCTTTAGCAATATTTTATTTCTACCCCTGCTTTGTTTCTTGCTTCTTCTACACAATGTTCTTTGATTTACACCCTTCTAATTAGCAGATAGCATAAAATATACAGCATATTTGTAAAAGGGATGCAGGTCTCATCCACGCTCCCCACTAACGTATTGGTATGGGTGAAAAGGCTCCAGTTTGGTGAACTCAGCATCCCCTCCTCAGCTTTGATCCCAAGCGTAAGCCTCCTGCCTGGGAGCGCCAGCCCAGGCTGGGATCACGGCCAGCAGCACGCGCCATGCCTTATGCAAACAGCGGCCTCCTGGACTGGCAATATTAACTCAGCACAATACTGAGTTATGTGCTGGTGCTTTCAGTCACCACAGCTAGGTTTAAATCACTGATGAAGAATAATTTCTCTCAGTAATAAACTCTCAGGCCAGCCCACTTCATTTTTCCGTGATAACATATTGTGAGAGCAGCAATATAAATACCATCGTGTAGCCTACAGAAGATGTGCAATGTGGGTTTCCTCTCAAAAAATAGGAGCAATTTTGCTTGGCTCAGGGGTCCACCTCTGAAGTGAACGTCCCAGTGATCCACACTTAGCCTCCCTCAGTTCCCATCACAGGATGGATTTATCCGGATTCCTTCTAGGCAAAACCTAACCGGAAAACGTGCTCCAGCCTTTCATAGCTGCTCTATCCACAGGGCCAGTCACACCCTCAGAAATGCATGTGGGGTGAACTTTCAGTACTGAGCAACAACTGCTTTGCTCTGTAAATCTGCTCTTATTTGGCCATAATACTTACTAATATAGACAAAGCCTGAATGCTAGTAATATAGGGGAAATTAGCAAGTACACTGCTTTTCAGACATTTATCCCCTTTTTGAGGCAAGAGTCTTTCCAACCCTGAAAATTTCCCTCTGTTTAAAAGGCTGAGACTAATTACTATAAATTTTTTGATTTTAGCAGGAGATTTAATGGGACTCAAAGACAAGTGCATTGACAGGAGGAAAAAAATTAGAAAGAAAAACAGCTCTCTGTTCTGAATAAATAACCCCAGCTAGAAAAACCTTCTGAGTCAGAAGAGGGAATAATAATATTCTAGTGCAGATCTGAAATAAGATCTGCACCAGGGGGAGGGAATGTAACCACAAATTAAATCAGCTCCTAGGGCACTTGACCTTTACTGGCTATTATCAACTAACATGCAAAGAAGCTGGATAAATGCTAGGTCCAGTTCTTTCATTTTCTGTACTAGCGACGGCTGTAAGGAAGGCAGTAGTCAGTAAAGTCACCCCCCACCTCCCCCTTTGGAACGAGTTTATTCCTTACATGGCTCTGCAGTGTCTCTTCAAACCAAGCAGGCAATAATATTTACACCGGGGGGCTCCCCAGGGGGATCCTTGCAAATCTCCTCATCCGAGAGAAACTCTCTGGTGGTGCCTGAATTAAGGCATTGCAGACTAAGACTTTGAGACTTCCTCCTGCTGGACTTGCAGCAAAAACCCTCTCAGGGGCCTCTGATTCTTAACTGAGGAGCAAATACAGCAAAACTACAGAACAGATGCCATCAGCGTTAACCGCAAGGGAAGATGCTTGTTCTTCGTGCCCAAGGGCAGAAGTGCCATCCCAGCTGGCATTCTCGGTGCTGCGAACTTGCTAACATTCACAAGCAAAGTAGCGATGGGATTTCTGCTCTCTTGATACCTTCCTTTCCTAGGGCCGCTGGGTTCCTCTCTCACTAGTCGTTTGGCCGTTTCACGGCATCGCTTTCAAGGGCCAGTTGCGTTATTTCTTAGTGCCACCAAGTGGCAGAATTTAATAGTACTATTTTCAGTTATTGCTTTTGACCAGTGAAGAAACCAGAGTCGATATCACTTGTACCAGCAGAAGAGCAAAAGAACCCTCAAACAGATCAAGGCTCCAAGATTTTGCGAATTAAAACAAAATTAAGTTTTACCTGTCTTGAATGGTAAATAATACAGTCAGAGGACAAGTTCACGACAGAGCAAAAATTTAAATGTGTGAAAATCTTTAAGTCTCTATGCAGCACAACATCAAATGCATGCTAAAAACTACTGAAAGGCAAAAGGGGGCTTGAGCACATATTTAATTTTAAGACTATCTGCTTAATATGTCCTGCTAAACAGGTGTGGATTGCTGAGCTGGAACCAATATGAATAACCTTTATTGGTAGTTAAGTCAATGAATCAGTGAGTGGAAGCTGAAATTTCCGATACGCTGATGCTACGTTCCATTAGGACTTAATGGCAGAATAATTATTCATCTGTTCCTGGTACAACGTAGCTATGAAATAGTGCAGTTCAGCTCCGTATTAAACAATGGCAGCAGTTTCATAAAGCACTGAACTCCATTTGCAAGCATTTAACTTTACCAGGCCACTGGAAAAATCTCAACAGAAGATACTGAAAAGTAGCCGTATGGTGTAGCCATCTGAAGTAAATATTTTCACAACTTTTTCAAGTTTATTTTAAACTTGCCTGCGAATACAAGGATGGTGTTATAGAGCCTAGTGCCACAACAGATACCATTCTCCAGGTTGATTTTCTTGCCATTTTCCTCCAGGTCTATACAGAAGCAAATGCAGGCACATTTCGGGAACATTAATTCATATTTGGAGTATTCTGCAAGCTGAATGACCTAGAACACAAAATTGTTGCTTTCAATGGAAATGTATTACATCTAGCAAGCTAACTGAAAATGTTGTAAGGATCAGAGGAGGAATATTCTAATATGTGAAGTCTTTCTTGACTGGAAGGGCCTGAGCAACATTTGGGAACAGAAGGGTTTCTGTGCAATCTACTTTGAGCAAGAGAGGGGCAATGCAGCTAGCCCACCTGCAGCTGAAGGAAGAGTTGGGTGTATGCGCACAAACATGTAGTCTATTCTCAGGAAAAAATAAGCTTTTTGTCATTTCTGGAGAAACTGGGTAGCAGAGTTTTCCCTCAAAGACATTCTTAATGCAAAGCATTGGGCAATTGTGTACTCAGGCTGACTGTTTATTCAGAGAGTTTGGGGGCAGCTCGCTCTTTATAAATAGTGGCATAAAATGAAGTTAAAAATAGGCTAACTATCTTCCTGTTTATGAACATGACAATAAAATGTATCATGCTATAAAACCACCACATAAGCACCATTTAAGGGTAGCTCACTGCTTGGAGAGCTTGCCTGTAGCTCCTGATGTGGGTTAGCATCTGAGCCTCTGTGCGGGACAGCCTGGGCTACGGGGTCCAGCTGGAGCGGACACTCGTCCTGGCTGCCTCAGAGGGCAGCAGCAAGTACTTAATTTGATTTTTCCCGTGCTGTCTGGGTCGTTTCTCTTCTTGTATTCCTAGAAGAATACACAGCTTCCATTCCCATGGGACACAGCAGCTGTGCTTTCAGCTCAGGGGACCACTTAGGGATCGATGCTAACAGATTCCCGCGCAAGACATGGTCTTTAGAAAAAAACAGTCAGATCACGGAGCAGTGAACAGCTGAGACATCTCAAACTGTAGGTCCTCATCAATACCATCATTTTGTAAGGCTAAGTTTAAAGAGTATTTAGATACTCATTACCAGAAGATTAAACTGTGGATATTATTAAAACATGCTAAAGGCATAATCTTGGGAGAGAAAAGATGTTTGAATTTAATTTAAATAAGGAGGCATTAACATTAGGAACAGTTCATTATCGTCTTTAGGAATTTAGTCCAGAATTGCAAGACTAACACTGTGTTTACATACTCACTCTAGCATTAGATTTTTTTTCAGTAAGTTGATGGTAGAAACAAGCCTTCCCAGCTTTGTAGCAGCAGCGAGACATACCAGATGGAGAATATATCTTCCTATGCCTGTTATAGCTCTGTTACATCAGGGATCACATAAGAAACCAACCAACTACCTTGCAGAGAATGCAGAAGGGTTACAAAGGGGCTGAAATAAGATGAAGATACTGCTAAACTTTTAATAACCCACAGGGAACTCGTTTATTTAGTATTTTATCACCCTAGAGTAAAAGATCAATTGTAATTGCATTATATCTCTACACATTTCCCAAGTAGGTATCTTCCTATCCTTTTCCTCCTACATTCATCATGCACCTTTATAAACTGTGCAAACTTATCCTGGGAAAATTTTTCTATTGAAGTGCAATCTATCCAGCTAAATCTCTGTTAACCTGACAGCTTCTTCCAATTAGTCCATCCTATTTAAGCACATGCCCTGTGTGCTACTGCAGGCATATTCAATTAAGATAAAGAAAAAAGTGCAGTAGACAAGCTTGACACTAATATAAATAAATGAGTGCCTTTTCTTCATGCATAAAGATATCACAGCTCAGCTTTCAGTTGAGCTTTCAGTTCAAGGGGATTTAAATACAGATAAACTTACACCAGTACAATGTCTACTTGCAGTAAGTAGAGGAGAGGTGACATTAATACAAAGTAGAAATGTCTTCAAACATCATGTACCTTTATCTGCATCACTAGAATAATGAAATTAAGAGTGATTTCAGTGTCATTCTAATACTAATATTTTTTTATACTGACACCAGTGTTAAAAAGAGACTAATAATTTGATAACAAGCATGGACTGCATTTTTGCTCAGAGCAATACAAAGCTATAGTGAGCTAGGCCTTCTGCAAGATCAGAAAGGTGTAGCCTGCTCCCTCCCTCCTGATGCACTTTGCATCATCAGTCCAGGTCTGCTTAAAACAATAAAACCAGTTCTGTACATAAAATTCTATTAGAATGGATTCTTAGCCTTTAATCATTAGCCATTAGTACCTCTGCTATTTATTTCTCTCCCTGCCAGTCTCTCACTCCGTTCCAAAGGTACCAGCTAGTTTCTCTCTCAGGTGGTCTAAGAGACAACATAAGCTGAACTTGTCCTCAAATAGTATTAAACAATTACCACTTCTGTTTCAGATATCTTGTGTCATCAGAGCTTGTCTAATCTTTTATTTCATGGAATAATATAGTTGGAGGAAAGAAACATTTACTTTACAAACTTCAGCTGTTATATCTAAAACATTATGAGACACTATATCAAAGTACATGGAAATGTAATAATACATACTTTACCAGATGACAGATTATCTCTAATTTAGCTAAATATTACTATGACTTGTCTATTTAAAATGCACAGCTTTCCTCTGAAAGCACTGAACTATTGCCTCCCAGTTGGGAAGTATTTGTTTCACATCAAAGTCCTTGGTTGAACAGCCCAGAGTTCAGCCTAAGGGCCAATCCCTTAAGCAGCAGGGATTATCATCCTTTCAGAGAAGGCTAGTAATGGTCTTTGTTAATTAGAATCCAGTCAGAGAGATACTCAGAGGCGTTCTTCAAGGATGAGACTCATGACATGAAACATTATTCCAACTATAAAAAAGGGCAACTATTAGAAGGGTGGTTCTTCAGACCTCAGGCCAAGGAACCACATTTCTATCTTAAAATTATCAGGAACATTTAGGACACCAAAAGCTGGCCATGCACTTCCACATTTCTCTTAACAGGAAAGGCAAATGTTGGCTTCACACAGACAAAAGGCAGCATCCAACTTCCTTCATATGTTACTATATCATAAGCTAATATACTAAAAATAGGGGAAAAAAATTGAAGACTCATGTAAGAAGCATTATGAGTCATGTAAACATAGGTGCCAAAGATGTTAAGTTGAAAGTGTCCCAAATTAGGCATTTTAATAGTTAGTCTCAGAGCAAATTATGTGCGTACAGATCTAAATCAAGCACTGACCTGTTTTTCATAAACAAATACATCAGTTAAGCTTATTGCCATATGCTTACTTAACTAATTATATCAAAATCTACTTACATTTTTAGAAGGAAATGGACTGTGTCATGATAACACATAAAGCCATACTTAAATCCTGCTCTGTTACCCACGCAAGTAACAGAAAACATCTTGAAAATGGTAAAGCCAGAATAAAATTTAATTGGATTGAGAAATAAACCCACAAAATCAAGGATGCAGAGAGGCTCACAAACTATCTGTGACTTGAAATACGCTCAGCTGGTGGTTTGGAAGTATTACCCCCCATTGAAAAAGCCAAAAGTATGACAAATAACTGCCCTTGGGTGTTCAGGAGCAGAATGGGAAGACTTGCATTCACAGCTGCAATTTATATTTGGAGTAACTTGCCCTGCTTTTGGCAAAAATGGGAATGCAGTCAAGAACATATGTTTGACCTCACTGTCAAGCATGCTGATAATCTCATTTTCACCAGGGATGTGTCCTAAGGCCTTAAGCTCACATGGAACAGCACTCCCTATAAGAACGGCAGTGGTCCCTTTGCAGCAACCAGTCCAGGAGATGGATAGCTAAGAGCGAAGCACGCTTCTCAGCTCTGTCAAGCTTTCATTTTTTGATACCTTTCTTTATTCTGAGATGCCACTGGATTTCAGAGGAAAATGTGAGCACCCTGAAAGCTGTCTGAAAATTGAACTTTCCATAAAATTAAACACAGCAATAACCGCCCTCCCACCTTGGTACCTAGTACTCCTGCCTTCAGAAGTATAGCACAGCCCAACTTTATCCAGACTTCTTCATATTAGGGGGCCATTCTAAAAAATTTGCTAGGTCGTCATCTCAACATTTCTGTTCTGCTAGCTAACTAAGTAAACCTGGACACAGACTGGGGTCTGTGAAAGGAGGCTTGTGTTTTGAAGATTGAATTAATCTGTTAGCAATTTGAGTATTTTTCTCAGGCGAAAACTGTTGAGCATTCCTTGGTTTGTGCAATGTTTGCTTTAATATTTTAGGCTTATTCAAAACCATAACACTATGAGTGAAATTCACCTCTTGAAACTACACCCGTTGTCTTGAGTTGCTTCAACTAACCCATTTCACTTCACAGCTGAGAAGGGAAAAGGCATACATGGTTTGATATCACAGCTCAGCTGATGATATAGGTGAGATGATTTTAAGTCAGTCATTTATGACCATGAGAAAGCACTCCTTGGCTCTCAAACCAGTGTAGACACTGATGTCTTCAGGGAAAGACTGTGCTAGCCAGCCTGGGCAGCGCTACAGCTGTCTTGGGGGTAGAAGACTACCAGTCACTGCAGATCTAATTCAAAGTGTAACGCAAACCTGCGTAAAGCCAAAGAGCCAGGTTGGCTTCTAGGACAGCTACATGAATTCTGGCAGAATTAGAGCCTGGATATCTTAAATACTGTGAATGTCTACTTCAGGAATCCTTGATTTGAGCCTGAGAGGGTTCATCTGGAGGGCTTTTACCCCGGAGCTGGTCTCCTGAAAGGATCTAGTAGAGCTGGAATCGAGGAGGAGACATCTCAGTCTGCCTTGCCACTCATGCAGGGTTCTTCCAAGGGAAAACGGAGGAAGCTTCTTTGGGTTGTTGCACTTGCCTAAGCTGCCCTACCACCATGGCAGTCATGTTCATGGACCCAGGCCTTCAGGTTGCATTGAACGCATCTGAGATGGATTTAAACATATCTTAGAAAATCTAAACTCTCTTCTTTGTGCTTTTCTCTGGCTGAGCTCATCTGTCTGGACACTTGCACATATAGAAGTGACTTAGATTACAATTTTCTTCATGTCTTCATTTAAATAATACAAACACTGAGCAGAGGGAGTGAATATTAACTATTTTAAAGATCCCTGAGAGAGAATTACAG